CATAACGACACCTCATTTCGGAATTCAAAAAAGGATGTCAGCGTCAAATTCGAAAAGTAAAATACCATATGCTGGGCATGTAGCTGAGTTCTTTGACCACCGAGAGATAACAGTGGAGTAATATCGTGGAGTAGTATTATAACACGGCTAGAGGTACTCTTCTAATAATGTGAAGCGGTATCATCTCTGACTGTAAAATGCTTTACGGCAAAGAAAACACCGAACGGAAGAAAAGTAGATAAAATGCTCTGACCGACGCAGTTTGTCTGATATCCACTATTATCAATCCATTAGTCAAATCTGGCAGATGTTTTTCTGACCTCTCTTGTAAATCGAGATATTGGCGTTCAGCCACGTCAGGTCGAGTACCACGTCTTATTTGGATAATGATAAAGCTAATTATATACAGCTTCTACAGACTGAGAAGTCATAGTTAGGGTGGTTTGAACATGTTTTGCAATTGCCTTCAGAAGGGATTGTGAAAAAGCTACCACTTGCTCGATCAGATATTCAAGGAATGTCGAAAATGACCTCGGATAAGTGATTCACATTTTTATGTGCTTCTACCGGAACTAAAACGCCTACGCAGGGTTTGGAACGCTAGAGGAACTGCCTGATACTGCTCTCTCCACGACTGCAGAAAACGGCAGCCATCGAAGCTGACTAATGGGCCTAATGTAGCGCTAATATACTTATAATACTTTGGCTGTTACATGTATATGTTTATTTTCGTCATGTAGCACTTTAGTTTATTTTATGACTTACTGTAAAAAATGAAAAGGTGACATTCTACATAGCTGGGCTGAAAGCTGTGTTCTTCTAATTAAATCTCTCAGCTCTAATTTAATGGCACGTGGTTTATATATTTTCTTTTTTCTTTAGAAATTAATGATTACTGCTTTTTTGATGATACGTATGCTCTTTGCTTTCCAGCGATTAGGCGTGATTAAAACAGGATATCTAAGGCAACGTAAAATGTATGACTTTTATCGAATACCGGACGCAGATCTTCTTGTGTCGCGAAGGGATGCTTGTTCCCCTTTCGTCTGTAATACGAATAAGGACTAATGGGCACATATTCATCCTGAGGACAAAACAATAAAAATAAGCAATCTGAGGAATGTAATCTGTGACAGAACGAAATTTCGGTCGCGTACCTTACAACCGTTTGTTTCAGACTGTTTTAATAAATCGGATCTGATCTTGCACTATTATTTTCATCTCGATCGTCTGGACCGGTCGGTATTCGAAGACGAATCACGCCGGCAGCAATACGCTCGCCATACCTCGCAGCTTCGAGCCTTCTTCCTCCAAGCTTGGCCTGCCCGGCTCATTATATAATCTTCCCACCTCCGTGGAGAGTGACCGAGGGACCTAATCCGTTAGCAGGAATGCCGGTCGACGATCATCGGTGAATTGAACAATGTGCCCGGCCCATCGTAGCTTCTTCTTTCTGTTTTCGACGACGACGTTCTTCATTCAAGTCTGCAATCTGGTCACTGGCTTCATGGGTCTCTCGGTGACAAATGGCTTGTGCTCTTTGGTTTTAGTAAGTGACCACTTCTCACAGATAAGCAGCGTCGAAGCATTACGGTAGACATGAAGATGGGCGCGCATCTATTTGCTGACGTTATCATCGAGATCTTCCTCGATGAGGCGGAACGAGCGCCAGCCGACCTTTTTTCTCCGTAGAATCTCTCCTGTCTGTTCATGCTTCTCTATATTTGATGTCAGACAGACCTAGAAAGTGGTGACTCAGCGTCTCTAATCAGATATAATGGGGCTCATGGATCTGAAACTTTCCCTACAGTATAATTCTATAAAGTACTCTAAGTCGTCGATAAGTTCTTGATCCGTGCTGCACCATCCATTTAGTGCTAGGCGTCTGCAGAGTCACTTATACCAACCTTCGTGCCTCGAATTAAGGACGCGCTGCCGTACATGGGTATTAGAGAATGCGTGAAATCATCCATTAATAATCGAGTAATACTAAAACCTTGATAATAAACATATTATTTATGGGCGACGATTGTGACACAAGCTTGGTGCAGACAAATAATAGCAATGCCATTGTCAGTTCTGTTAAATGTTCAGCGTGCGTTGTATTTTATGCAGTTGTCTTTTCTTTGAACGTTATGACCAGTGGTTCAACTTGATTGAACCTGGGGGCCATTTACTTCTGAATTAGTGAGTAGCACAACGTCGAGCCTGAATGACTGAATCGGCACTGAAAAGAGTGAGCAGCCTCTTCAGAAAGCGGATTTAGTCGCATTTCTTTATGAAGAAGTGGTATATAGACTGATTCATCTTTCCTTACTTTAACTTTTTTTCTTTCGACATCTGCGGTTTCAGTCAATTATTGAATAGTAAAAACAACTGTACTATATTGTCTTCATGGATGTTTACGTTGACACATGCAGTCTTCGACATTTTTGTCATTATTTTTCAACAGTGGTCATAGTTGGAATCGGTGATCTGAATATATGGCTCATTCCATAGGCAATGCAGAAAATTGCAATGCAGCGGAGTCAATGTTGTTGGACTTATTTTTATATGGATATATGTATTACGGACTGTATATTCACACTCTTTGTGTCTTAGTCACTGCTAGGCATTCTCCGAGGTTCGATTTGTTCTGTATTGCACAATCGGTTCATAATTCGCACCAATCGCATGGAATAAATGTGACTCTCTTACGTATATGCTGAGCTTCTCCAAAAGGTACTTGTGAATGCATCGTATCCTTACGTTATATTATTCACACCATTTGAATCACCGTTGCAGGGATAGAACATACCATAATGTAGAGTGCGATCTTCCCCTCCCTCTGCGATAAGAACTACATTTCCTTTAAGAAGTATCCATAAACAGAAATCAAAAATATGTCTAAGGTACGACTGTTTGAAATTGCTCTAGGCTACCATTATTTTAGACTTCTTTCATAGCCATAATATCACCTGATTGCTTGTCACTCTTGTCTCTATCATTCCTCAAACCTGTGTTTCTTATCATTTTTGGGCGGTATCTGTTTTAGCTTTGCATGCGCCCACATGCACTAGCTATTTATTTAAATATTTCGTCAAGATACTCGTGATTCTGTTGGATTTATACGATTATATGCAATTGTCCGTTTTTCTAAATAACTGAGCACGTTTCCAGAGGCGTCCAGCTAGACCTAACTCTGAAAGAAAAAAACAAGGAAGTTGAGGCAGCGCTTGAAGAGCTAAATGCCGCCAAGCAGGAGGGAGTCCACCTGCAAAAACTGTACGGTTTTGGGTCGGTGCTTAATGCCTTTCTTACCTTGCAATGTTTAGGCTTGATGAGGAAAGGGCGAAGACTGCGGCGTTGCTCGAACAACAGGTCGAATCAGTCGAAACTGCCGGCCAAAGGCAAATACAGAGGTTGTTGATATTCACTGAGCGTTTTATTTTCCTTTCTTGTGCATCATTACGATTTCAGGCTTGTGGTCGTGAACGAGACGATGCAGGAAAATGTGGATCAAACAGAGCCAATGGCAAAAAACCACGTAACCGTGGACGAGGTCTTACGGCAATTAGAGGAAACAAAGCAACGGTAAAACGGTGTTACCTCAATTCAATCCTCTGTAACTCGTAACATGCGGCTGCCAACAATCTAGACAGAGTAATCAGTGGTTGTCGAAATTGAGACCCAGATGGTTGAGATAATGACTAAGGTCCAAAGCGCCAGTTCGACAAAGAGATCTTTCTGCTGCAGCTGGAACGTTTAGCCTAAAACTGAAAAATTCACAGTTTTCAGCATTATTTTTGTAGCCATAAATTAGCATGAACTTGAATATCACGTTGCTGCCGCTATCAGCCATTGTCATTTTATTAGTACCTGGAGAAAACACTAAAACGGACAATAACCACTTTTAAAATCATACAAAAGATATGAACGATGTTTGGTGAATCTTGTGCTTCTGATTCAGTCGCATCGACGACAACACCGTGAGTGCCACTGCATTCCACCTCAATCGAATAGATCATGGTCACCCCCCAATCCTTTTTTTGGCCACGCTAGTCCTAATAAAATTTTTTCACCTTGTCGGAGCAGGGGTCTCCTTGGCGGTTGCCAGCCAACAAGACTGGCGTTCAGTTTCACATTTCGCAAGGCGGCTTTATCCATTCATTGACAATGGTCCCGCCATCTTAAGCGCTCTGTATGCAGCAGGTTTGTCACTCTAATTGCATAACCCAGTGTCACTCTGACTCACTCTGACAACAGCATTTGTCACCAAGTTATAACACTTCTCTCCTAATACTTCTAATCTTCAAATTTCATTTCCTCGATTCAGCTGTGTTGGCAACAGAACATCAGCTGTTCACAATGCAAGCGCTGTATATCCTCAGCTTTATCCTGTTGCTAGCGTCGTTTTCTTTCCCGGTTGGTTTGACTTGTTGCTCACTGCAAATGCTAATCCATAGCTCCTCTTAAGTCTGTCCCTCTTCCGCTAGTAACGAATGTTCTTCTGGTACTTTTTCACAACTTCATGCACGCAGTGCATCTCTCCATCTTAGTTCTGAATCAAAGGACTTCGTGAAATCATCGATGAGTGCAAAGAATTTGGATCCCCACTCTCTGTCTTATTTTCTATCAGCTGTCTCATTCTGAATATCTGGCCCGAACATCCTCTGTCTTCTCTGAATCCAGACTGCTCTTCACCCAAGATCGTCTCAAAAGGTTGTCTAGTCCTTTTCACCAATGCACGCATGAACACTTTGACAGAGACGGACATTAGGCTTATTCCACGGCGGTTATTTGAATCCGTGATATTTGATGAATAGTATCAGGAAATAAGGAGAAAATAGCATTCTTCCATCACTTGATTGCCATCCCGAATTTGTGAAATTCAATGTAAAATGCTGTCCATGTTGTCATAACTTTTTATGCAGTAGTT